TTATAGGGTTTATAGGGTTGATGGGTTTTAGGGTCTCTGGCTCAGGGTTCACTGTCATGGGATACAGGCTCACGCAGCCTTCTCTGCATTAACAGACGCAGCAATAGGTGTACAAGCAACAAAACAATTGTTGTAGTGCTGAGCATGGCTACGCTAGGGCTAAGGCGTTGAAACTGCGGACCTTAAGCACTAAACTCCAGACTCTAGACGTAATCATCCTCACTTCATTTTTTACATAAGCAAAATTAAATACAGGTTTCCTAGGTCTGGCTGTGATCCCTGCGGGTTAGGGCTAGACCATAGTCTCAATGTCAGAGCCAAATTCAGCGCAACAAGCCCCATCATCGCATGATTTTTCATTTATATCCCTACGGTCACCCTCCTACCCTAAGCCCTACTACCGCCTAGTTAGACATGCCTCATGTCCAGGAAAGGGAAAGATCTGAGATTGAACTCTCCCATCAAGCCTTTCGGTGGCTTCAGGGCGATCGATGGCCAGATCTTTGATGTGGTTGCTGGACCTATAGCTTACTGGTTCTTAGTAGNNATAAGGGAATATATTATAGGAATCTACTCTCTTTTTCCTTACTAAGAACCCGTAAGATATGGTTGCGCTTTAGGGGTTGATGCTGGATTCTCCAAAGGGCAGAGCAGGGATCAACTCTGAGAGCAAAGGCTAGGGCTAGATTTGGGGGCCCCCGTCACCGTTAAATCATTCAGCTCCTCACTTTGCAGATTCACATCAAAGCAAGCTGTAGATCGCATGCATGGCTCCTAAACCCTAAGCCCTGCTCTAGCCGGCCCAACAAAGTCGAAACTGAAATCAAGCACCAGAGGGTTTGGACCCTTCCTCCACCCAGCAATAGTTGGGGAATAATCAGAATACGAATACCTTATTACAGACTGTTACTACTGTTATGGGTTGAGGGCAGTACCTATAATACATAGTTGTCAAGGTTTGGCAGTTTCCGCAGAAGGGTGACCCACACATAAATCAAAGAATACTAGAATCCTTATTCTAGGGACCCGAAAAAGGTGCCTTCAATTTTAAGAAACCCCCATTTGGTGGAGCTTAACAATTTCAGGTCAAGGTTCTACCAAGAAAGGGGCGCTTGGGAATAGCCCCGATGAGCAATATCTTTAGTGGCTATACTACGGTCCCCCAAGTAGGGCAGGATCAAAATACACTCGGATGTATATAGCTATATTCTACATATATACATATTCATAGTATGTCAACAAGAAAAATAGAATCCACTATCCCACCATTGTAGCACCCGAGCTCCAAAACTTACGTGAGCTAGAGTCTAAGCTCCTTTAGGGGAGTTAGTTATATATATATATA